ACTGTTAGCATACGACATTTAGTAGGCCTGAAAGAACACAGAGGGAAAAATTCACTCAAAGCCCTTCATGGAGATTTAATTTTCTTCCTTTTTAAACTTGTTTGTTTTAAGATAAGGTCTCACCAGCTGACCCAAGCTAGTGGGAGCCCATGGACTATGGACTGACAGCTGGGGAACCTGCATGGCACTCTGAATGTGGGTGACAGTTACCTGGCTTCATCACGTGGGACCAGGACCTATCCCAGGGGCATGAACTGGCTTTTTGAAGCCCATTCTCTATGGTGGGTTACCTTGCTCAGCCTTGATATGGAAGCGGGGAGGGGCCTGTTCCTGCCTCAACTTGGTATCCAGGCTTAGCTGATTCCCCAAGGAAGGCCCTGCGGCTCTGAGGAGTGGATGGGGTGGGAGAAGGGAAGGGAGGGAACTGGAGTTTGTATGCAAGTACAGCAGGCTGGCCTGGCCCTGCCTCCCAAGCGCTGGGGTTAAAGCACGGCTCCACCATGCCCAGCAGTTTGCTTAGTAGCATCAGAGAAGGGTCCGCTTGCCACAGGAACGGGAAAACCCACTGAGAAGCCAAGATGGCAGATGGCCTCAAGGAAGACTGGGAGCCTGGTGTGAGGCTGACACCAGTCCAGTGGGTTCCACAGGACCTGGGCACACGTGTGGGTTTACTTGCTGTGACGTGGCGTGCACGCCTGTGATGTGCTCAGTGTGTGCGTACACCTCTGGAAGGAAGAAGCGGCAGGGTTCATTTACTGTGGTAACGCCAATCCTGAAACGTCACCCACACTCCAGGGTTTCCAGAGGCTAAGAACCAACCCGTGCTTGCATTCCACAGAAAACTGTGAGGCACAAATTAAACACCAGGTAGCAGATGTGACCACTTACAAGAAACACACACACTGATTTTTCCTTCAGAACTTCAAAGTTTTCATACTAATTCACTCAAACGCTAGAGACACTCTGCTCTCTTCAGGGCAACATGCAGGCCTGCTTCTTAAACCTGACTCATTCCATGTTTGAAGGCAACTACTCCTAAAATAACAGAAACAATTCATAAAAAGCTTCTAAGATAGCTGCCCAGAAAGGAAGGTTAAAAGTTGTGACTGGGTAAGCTCTCATTTTATAAGGGTGGCTGAACTAAAGCTTCTGAGCTTTGCTGCTGTTAGCCACTAGAGGGCAGAGCTGGTCGTTTTTCTTTGCAGTACAGGAAAAGGATTTCAATTTTTCTTTTTTAAATTTGTACATGTATGCGCGAGCCCGTGCATTTGTGCGCATGTGGAGGTCAAAGGGCACATTCTAGTTTGTGGGTTCTCTCTACCTTGTAGGTCCCACAGACTGAACTCAGACTGTCAGACTCACTGGCAAGTGCCCCCCCTTTTTTGTTTGTTTGTTTGTTTGAGATAGGGCCTCTCTAGTCCTGGAGCTCTTTATACAGACCAGGCTTGCCTCCAACTCACAGACATCTGCCTGCCTCCCGAGCGCTGGGATTAAAGGCGTGAACCACCATCAAAAGTCTGTCCCAGGAAAGAAAACCATACTCTTTCCCCTAAGAATGTGATCTCTATACTGATCAGTAAAAAAGCGTCCAAGGTTTTGGGAGCTTGTGCTTTTTTAGTTCTTAGGTCTGAAATAACATTAAGGAGCCAAACACTGACAGTTAAAATTGTGAAGGTGAACTGTCACTAATCTTTGATTACTAGCCACTACAATGCCACCCACTTCACTTGAGACCTGGTCCAAAGCTTATCAGAACACAGCAGCTAACTGAAGCAGTCAAACTTTTACAGTAATAGTAATGGGAACTGTACATTTTGCTCTGTGCAGATCCACTCACTCTGCCTTTATTGCTATAGTCTTAAAAACTAACAAAATGAGGCACACAGTGGGAAGAAAACCGACACCTCAACCGCACTGAAAGTTATGCACGAAACATGTTTTCAGGAATGGGGCCCTAGTTCAGTGGTAAAGCTCATGCCTAGCTTATGCAAGTCCCTTCATTCAAGCCTTAACACTTTAACAATTAAAAAGAGTATTTCGGGTGCTATCATATAGCTTGTAAGTGTAAAACTAAGCTGGACCTGGTAGCAGCACACTCCTGTAATCCCAACAGTAGGAAGGATAAAGCTGAAATATTTTGTTCTTGAGGTCAGGAGAGCAAAACCCCATTTCAACAACCCAAACCAAAGCAGCTGGGAAATAAATATTAATACTGGGAAGCCATTCTTGCAGAGGACCTGAGCCCTGTGCTCCTCAGGCACACAGAGACATAACTAAAAATAGGGGCTGGAGAAACGACTCAAGACCACTGGCTGCTCTTGAGAACCCAGGCTCTGCCCAGCATCCACATGGCACTAACAAGTCTGTAATCTCATTTCTAAGACACTTGACTGGGCACAAGGCACACACATTGTACAGATATACATGAAGGCAAAACACTCATACATAGAAAATAACATTTACATTTAAGAATATACAAATAGGAGCTGGAGAGATGGTTCAGTCAGTAAGAGGCAGCACTGTTCTTCTAGAGGACCTGAGTTCAACCCCCGATACCCACCATCTGGTGGCTACAACCACCTATAACCCCAGCTCCAGGAAATCCAACACCTCTGGCCTCCACAAGTACCCACAGTCATATGCATCTACACATAGACACACACAATTAAAAGTAAAATAAATCTTAAAAAAAAAACAGGATGCACAAATAATTCCTGTTAAGTACATTCCAACAAAGCTAATTACAACAGAGAAAAACTGAAATCAACCTAAATGCCTGACAAGGACAAATGGTTAAGCAAACTATACACAGCATACTGTTAAGAATAAAAATGCTCTAACAGAAACAAGAATGCACACTCATGACTACACAGATGTTTAGATGTATGCACATGTAATGGTATTATGCTAAAAAAGAGTAAACCAGGAAAACTCAGGTATTTATGAAGGCCAAGATAATAAATAAGAAATTAGAGAAAAATAGGATTTTGTGTTTAGGAAATTAAACATAAAACTTTGTTGCTGTTCTTGTTGTTGAGACAAGGTGTCTCTTCACAGCCTTGTCTGAGATGAGCTTGTCTGTCTCCCAAATGTTGGAATTAAAAGTGTGCCCAGTCATAAAGGACTTACACAACAATTTTAAGGTGACAAAAGTAGCCAAATCCTCAGTCTCTCAAATCCATCCTGAGTTAATGCAGGATGAGGACTTAAAAGACTATGGTGTGCGTGCTACACGGAGCTATACGTGTTTCCCTGTGCACTCATCCAGTACAAAAACAGGCTGCTGGAGGAGCCAGGAATGTTTTTTTTTTCCCCCTCTCTGAGGAATGATGAATACAACACACATTCGCTGTTTCTTTTAAAAACTAGTGTGACTCTGTCAGCAGGACACAGGTCGGCTGGCAAATCTAAACCTCAAGAGAAAGTGCAAGATGCAGTGAAGACTTTAACAGCCTCCCTAGCGCTGGAAAACCACCTCAGGGTCCACAGCTGCAGTAAAAAGCTGACAGTCATATAATAGACACCAGCCTAAAAAACTCAGCAAACAAGCCCATTCATGGATTGCAAACGGCACCTCGACTATTATTTGAACGGTTAAAATAACGGTTTCAAGGAGAGCCTCGATCCTCTGAAGGGCTGACTTTTAGTAACTTGACAAAACACCGGAGTACTGCGGCGACGCTCTGCACCTCTGCGCAAAATCCACCACCGGCTGGTAAACTGAAAAAAAACTTGCAGGCGAATGTTCTACGAAGCCAACATTTTCAGCATGGGTTCGTTCTTCCGCCGTATGCTTCTTTTTTCCTTTTTTTAAGCGTTTAAGAAGACTATCCCGGAGGAACTCACTTGGGGGGAAGAGGGGGTGGGGTCTCTTCAACATGCTTCTACAGATTTCTAAAACAACATCTAAAAGGCCAGGCAAGGTCTCGACACCTAAGCCTTTACTAACGCAGCCTTTTTTTGTTTTGTTTTTCTTTTTAGAACTTGTCGCAACCCACAGGCTTAAGCGGTCCGACCGCGCTCATCTTGGCAGTCAGATGTCAAAAGTCCTAGAGGGAGGGGGGGGTGGGCAAAACCGTCGTCACCACGAGTTCCAGGAAAGCGCGATGCAATCGGTGGTGGTGTGGGGGTAATGGGGAGAGAGAGAGAGAGAGAAGCCAGGAGACTTCAGAGTTACTGGGAAGTTTTGTCCGCTCGGCGGGGAACGCCCCGTGTGGGCAGCAGGGTCGCCCGAGGGGCGGGCTGGCTGGCGTGCGTGCGTGCGTGCGGACCAGGCCGGTGCGGAGCCCAGGAGAGGCGAGGGGTCCCGGGGAAAGACGATCTCAAACGCAGTTGCTGCGAGCTCAGGCTCGGTGACGCTTCCCGGATGCGGCCGGGTACGGGCCCGGCCCCGGCTGCCCGCTCGCTCGCCCGCCCTGCCGCTCGCCCGGCCGACCCCACCCACGGCTACGCCCCCCTCCGTGTCTCCCGCGACCCCGGCCCCGGCTCCCTCCGCCCGCTCGCCCGCCCGCAGCCGGGCCTGCCCCACCTTGCACTCGTCGCTCTTCTTGTCTTCCGTGCAGAAGTTGACCGGCGCCAGGCCGGGCAGGTAGAAGGCGCGGCCCGGGTGCGGGCCCGGGACGGTGCCCAGCAGGAGCAGCGACAGCAGCGGCAGCAGCCGTGGGCCTCGCTGCGAGGGCGGCCTGGCGCTCATGCCGGCAGCGGCGGCGGCGGCGGCGGCGAGAGGAGGAGGGCGGCTGAGCCGAGGCGCGGGGAGACGACGACGAGGAAGGGGGCGAGGGAAGGGGGAGCGGAAGCTCGCAGGTTTCGCCTGAGGGCCCGAGCGCGCCGACCAGGCCGGCCTCGCAACGGCTAGTTCCGGTTACGCCGGGAGACACCGCGGGGGCCAATCCCCCCACCCACCCCCGCGACGGAGCATGCGCGGCGGCGCTGTGTGCACATGCTCAGTGGCGCGGGTTTCCGGCCAGGGAGGAGTGGAGGCGGGGGAGACAGGGCGAGGAGGTCCACCTTCCGGGTTGTCCGGTGCTCCGGCTGGGCCACTTCCGCCTGCGTGCTTCCGGCGGTCTGGTTCCGGATCCCCCAGGCTGGCGCGCTCCTCTTCTCTGCGCGCCCGGTCCTCTCAGGACTGCGAACCCGACGGGCGGCGGAGGTGGTGGATGAAGCAGGGTTCGAATGTTTATTTTTTTCCAAGGACTAAAGAGTAATTTTGCCAAAGCAGAGCCGACAGACCCCACCACCAGCACCACCACCACCACGGCTCCGCCCCCGCCGGGTGCACCATTAGACGTCTGTCAATCAAACAAATCCCTCCCGGGAGCGCCTCGTTTGACAGTGTCAAATGCAAACCCCGACAGCCCTGCAGGGGCCGTGCGTCCCAGATTTAAGGCAGGGAAAGTTCAGAAAGTACACCAAGCAGGTCAACTGGGGAAAAAAAGCAGTTTGGAGTGTGCCACGGGCTCTCAGAATCCATGGGGGCGTCCACCTGTGTCCCCCCCGAGGGAGGTTTGCAACTAGCGGGGTTCTCGGTGGGTGAGGAGGGGAGGAGACGAGCCAAGCAGAGCCGGGCGGCGGAGGTGATCTGAACCGGCCGAGCTCTGCGGCTTCGGAACGCTCCGACCCAGCTGTGTGACCCTTGCGGGGTCATCCCGGGGAACCGGGAAGAAAACCGAAGGCCGCCCCTCTCCTCGCACAGTGGCTCTCCCGGGAGACGGTGAGCGTTTCTGGAACAGAAGGGGCGGTGCAGCGCGTCCGCACACGTCCTCTCTCCCACTGAAACCGACTTGCTGAGCTTCGGGCCGGGATACCTGCCATCGTGCAGAGAGGCTGCAGCTGTCGTCTGCAGATGGGACGGGGCGCTGACACCCCCATCGCGTGTGTGTTGGATGCTCCAGACGTGACCCTCGCAGCCTCCGCCCCCAACTTGAACCTTGTCATCGCTATTTTGGAACCTCATTCCTTAAAGCCCGCATTGCATGCTGCTCGCGGGCCACCGAATGGTAGACCGAGTCCTTGTGGCGGTCTCCGGGCTCAGAGACCGCTACCCACCCCTGGTGGCCTCAGCTTCTGCTTGTGTAGGAGGGGCGGTGTGCAGTGAGGACGTCCCAGGGCAACTGACACTTTTGCGACTGTGTTTATTTGCTTCCCCGTCTCCCCTCCCACGGGTGCAGGGGCCAGGTCTCTGCATCTCCGGCCTCTATAACCCTACCCCCACCCCGGCCCTGGAGAAACCGAGGTGGGGGGCGAGCGATCTAGCAAGTGCACGGCCCCACACGTTCTAAATCTGGGTTTAGGATCGCAGACTCTCGGCGCTAAAGCCTGAGGTTTTCCTGATGCATTTAGCCCGCCCTTTCACGGAGCAACACCAGCCTAGGACGGTGACCTGGGCCACTCGGGAGTGCTGAACCCACGGCGACCTGTGGGTCTTCCCTCCAGCAAAGTAAGTGGGAAAACACACACACACACACACACACACACACACACACACACACACACACACACACACACACACACCAAACAAAACCCGGACAAACGGGCTCGGGATTGCAGACAGCTGACTCGCCCAGAGCGCGGGCAGGGCGTGCGCGGGGTCCCCACGCCAACGCTTATTTTGACACGTCACCGCACTTGGCCGCCGTTTGGTTGGCAGGCCTCGACTTCCGGATCCGGTCTCTTCTGTGTAACGCGTCACCTGCGGTTCCCTAGGTTACCGGGGGGCAGGGCGGGGTCGGGCCTCCTGGTTGGTGAACCAGGTAGGGCAGAAATGCAGGACCGATGGGCGAGTTCCCTAACAAACTTGGGAAGGGGGAAAATTTCCTCTGAGTTCTCCCCGCAGATGGCAATGCTCTTTTCCCCCAGACTACCGATAATTCTGGCTAGAGCAAACCCTGAGGAATGTGATTTTGCTCCTATGCTGAGGACTGCGTTTGTCAATTCGGAGAAGCTGAGGGAAGGGAAGGGGAACAAAATGATACAAAAAGAAAAAAAAAAGAAAGAAAATGCCCCGAAGGGATGAAGTTGTGGCCTCACAACTCAATATACTATGTCTCTGAGCTTTGCACTCAAAATGATTACAGTGATAAATCTTATTGTGTATAGTTTACCACGGTTAAATAAAAATCCAGATTTCTTTATTTCCCCACTTTCCTCTGCTGAGATAATTTAGAAGCCCGTTTTTCTGAGTTTCTCACATTGTAGGGATAGAACTGCCATATTTAGCAAATAAATACGCAGATAGCCATGTTAAACATTCTAGTTTCGGATGGTCAGTGAATAATTACACCGGACACATGTATATAATCTGATCATCCTACTCATGTGTCGAGTGTAAATTGATAAGAAAGTGTCTTACACTTGCGAAAAGTGTGCATTATATATTGTTAGCTATATGTCTGTAAGTGAAAGCATCTTCAAGATCTTTCTAGAAGGGGGAGAAAGAAACAAAAGAAAAAAAAAACCCGGATTGTCTTTGATTTCCTGACAGAGTATGTCATCGATGACAGGTCAGAATATCACACCCAAGATATGCCATTTGGGCATAAAGACGATTCTGGGCTAAAGGCCACAGAGAATTAGTGTGGATAGGATCATCTTCCTCTTTCGTCTAAGCAGAATAGAGATTTCTCTTCATGGAAGCAGCAGCGGAACGGTGGGCTAGGCCCGCAACCCTGTCTACTTAGGAGGCTGAGACAAGGATCACAAGTTCAAGGCCTGCCCAAGCTGCAGATCCTTGAGTTCCAAGACAGCTAGGGCAACTTAATGAGACTGTGTCTTACGTTAAAAAAAATGACAAGAGGTGGGGATTAATGATATAGTGTTTGCCTAGCATGTGTTAGGTCCTGGTTTCAACCTCTAACACACACACACACACACACACACACACACACACACACACACACACACACCAGTAGCAAGCAGGGAGATGAATTATTTACCCAAGAGAAGCAGAACCTTTCTTAACCGGAAAGACTTGAGACAATACAAAGAAAAGTCTTCAAATAAACCTGAGCAATCAACTCAAATCGACCATACATTTCCTCATTGCTGTCCCAATGTACAGCCTGTGGATCAAACTCCTTTTAAACCAGTCACTTCTACACAATGTGCTGCTGCTCGTTAAAACAGTGGATATTCTTGTTACGCTTTCATTTATTTTCTGTGGAGCCCCCACGCACTTGAAAACGCGAATAAATATGTCTTCTGTCAAATCGTTAATTTTCAGGTGTTGGTTAAGGAAAGTCCATCTCTATAGTATAACTTGGAAGTAAAGCTGACGTCAAACAAAGAAACTATAAATACCGGAGAGGTCAGTGTCAAGATGTGAAATCTTAAGTGGGACAGGACGTGGCGTACTCCTGCAAGTCTAGCTAGACCTTGTCTCAAAGAAAAAAGATAAAGAATGGTCCTAGTGTTAGTCTCACAGATTTGACCAACTGGTCCCCAGTTAGTGGAACTCTGGTTCCAGGCAATCTGATGTTCTTTGGCATTTGCAGGCACCTATGTGTATGTGGTGACATAAACTAACAAGACACAGACATACACATTAACTTAAAACAACAACAAAAAAATCAATCGTAATATTCAACTCATTTCACACTCTGAGGAGCATCCCCCAGCTTCTGGAGGGCGATTTCCATATTCTTTTAATTCTTTTTGAAAGTACAATCTGGAAGAATAATTATTCTAGCCTTCAGGTTCAGGATCTAATTTTTTTTCTTTTGCTTTCTTGGAACAATCTTATTTTAGTATATCAATCCCAGCTTCCTCTCCCTCTCATCCTCCCATGCCCCCTCCACAGATCCCCAATCCTATCCCTCTTCTGCTCCATAGAAAGGGTGGAGGCCTCCCATGGGGGATCATCAAAGTCTGTCACATCATTCGGGGCAGGGCCTAGGCCCTCTCCCGGTCCCTCCATCCAGGATCTATTCTTGAGACACAGTTTGAATGTGAAAGAAATCTAGCTCTAAGCATCACCTCAATTCACTTCAGTGCCCAACAAAGGAATTTGCTGAATCAACATGGCACCACAGCTGGCAACAGAATGGTACCCTGCAGACATCACAGGTACATTGAGGAGAGCTGGCAACGTGAGATGTGTTTGAAATAACACTGGAAAGGCAAAACCTACATCGCAGAAGAGTGTGCGCATTCTGACCCCAGCTTTTGTTCAGATGTTTCCAGGGCTGGAAGTGTGGTTCAGCGGCAGAGCGTTGGCCTGATGTGTTCAAAGTCCTGGGCTCCATGCCCAGCTGTGAATTTTCTAAACAATAAGCACTCGTGACTATAATAAAGGACTTTAAAACTCCATAGGAATCCAGCAACTTAGGAAGCTGAGGCAGGAGGGTTGCAAGTTTCAGGCCAGCATGCAGGCCATAATGCTACAACCTAGTGAGACCCTGTCTTTTTAAAAAAAAAAAGTGTAAGACTTGAAGAGATAACTTTTTCCAAAAAGGGTGTATGGGTGGTGTGTAAGTTCAAGAGAAGATGACCAGTGTCACTAGATGACAAAAATTGGAGCGAAATCACTGTGAGATATAGAAGAATTCGTCATACTAACCCACCAGTTTTATGATTAGTATATGCAAATAACATTTATTTCAAGCCTGACGAGATACCTTTGCGCGCTGGTTAGAATGCTGACAACCCAATGATGACAAGGTTGGGAACCACTGCGCTCCCACATTCTGCTGCAGAGAGTATAGAAGGGATGGCAGCTTCTCACTGAGTTACACGCGCACTTATGTGACCTGGTAGTCCCACCCGTGGCTACTTAGACTCCAGAGAAGCTAAAACTTAACACAGGCGTAAAAAACTTACACACAAACATCTGTGGCAGATTTACTCATAACCACCCAAGCTGGAGACAATCAGCATCTCTTTCAAGTTGCCAGCAAACCACTTTGTATTCATATAATGCTACATTCGTTGTCTTAGGCTGCCTTCTATTGCTGGTGTAAAGATGTGGCCAAAAGCAACTTGGGGAGGAAAGGGTTTATTGTATCCTTCGGCTTAGGGGTTACAGTTACAGACTGTCATCTTGTTCAGCCTGCTTTCTGATAATACCCAGGACACATGCTGAGGGTCCCCTTCACGCCCAGCTGGCTGAGTGCTCCTCTATCAGTTTGCAAAGAAGAACATGCCTCTCTCAGACTTGCCTTCAGGCCAGTCTGGTGGAGGCATTTTCTCAGTAGAGGTTCCTCTTCCCATTTGACTCTAGCTTGTTATCAAGCTGACAACATCAAACAAGCAAAATGTAACTAGGACACTAGTCAGCAATAAAAAGGATCGAGCGTTACTGTACGCCACACCCTGAAGACTCTCATATACACTATGGAAGAGACTGTGGTCCAGGGAGGCTACAGACTGTAATCCTAGTAGCATGATCTCCACCCCTCCCCCACCCCGGGACAGGACCTCACTATGTAGTCCTCACCTGCCTGCAACTCTGTATAAGAAGGCTGGATTCAGCCAGGCAGCGGTGGTACACATCTTTAATCCCGGTGCTCGGAAGGCAGAGGCAGGAGGATCTATGTGAGTTCAAGACCAGCCTGGTCTACAACAGCTAGTTCCAGGACATCCTCCAAAGCCACAGAGAAATCCTGTCTCGAACCCCCCCAAATGCTAATTTGATAAACTTGAAACTGTCACAACCAGAGAGCAGATCAGCTGTTCATGTAACTGTCTTCCTCTGTCCCTCCAGCCAGCTCCCAAATTTTGACCAGACTTATTAATTATGAAAGTTTTGTCTTTAGCGTAGGCTTGTTTCTAACTAGCTCCTTATGACTTAAAGTAACCCATATTTTTATTCATTTATGTCCTACCAGGAGTTCTCTCTGACAGGAACTAACTGTAAAGGGACATCACTGAGGACTGTTTTCGGTGGGGTAGATGTGACAGCACTGTTATGACGTAAGCATTTGTGGGTAGGTGAAACACTAATCTTTGAATGTGTTAAGACTTGGACAAGGATATTTTTTAACTGACCATGAAGGTACTGGGCCTTATAATCACAGCACTTAGGAGGCTGAAGCAAGTTCATGAGTTCAAGAGCAGCTATGCCATGTAAGGATACTGTCTCAAAAAGAGACAGACTTAAAAGAATATATGAACATATAAAAGAATATGTAAATATATAATATATAAAAGGACTGGAAGACCACAAACATGAAAATATTCACAGTGGATTTTTGTTTGTTTGTTTGTTGTTTTTTGTATGTTTGGCTCTGCTGGGATCAGGTGCAGAGAGACTTGTCCATGCTGGGCAAGTGTTCTACCGCTGAACGACACATGACAGTTATTTCTGTGTAGTCAAACGAAGGTGGTTTCCTCTCTGCTGAAAAAATAGTGAACATAGCCCTCCCTTGTAAAGAGATTTCATAAGTCTTTTTGCTTCTGCGAACATGCACATCTAGCCTGCTGTAGGAAGCTTGAGTGACGAGTGGGAATTCATCGGTTCGGTCTTTTCTGAGCAATAGAGAATCTCTGAGTTACTGGGAAAACACCTTCTGCAAAGCCATTTCTTTTTCTTTTCTTTTCTTTTTTACAGTTATAAGGACCAAGTGCTATCATCTCTGGACATCCCCCTGCTTTGTTGTGGGCTGGAGGGCAGAGGACACCAGCCTGGCTGCACCATTAGGTTTGATGTCAGCATCCATTACCACGCAGGCATGACGATACGATCGAAGACTAAGTACCTGCTTCTCTTTCCTCTCAGCCCCCATTGTGTAGTTAATACTCTCATCAAGTATTAAGCATCAGGAGGCTGCCAGAGGCCCCAGGGGCACTGGCCTATTTGATTTCACTTTGTGAAAGGAATCAACGTTATGCTAGACGCTATAGACAGATTGTTGTACTCAGGGACCTAGAGAGAAGTACTTAAGCCAGATTTATTGGGCTTACTTCACTGTTACTTCAGCTTTCCTGACTGAAGTCTGAGATTCTGAGGGCAAGCCTCTCCTGGAGAACAGCCACCCTGGCTTCTACTCGCTTCTGGGGGTCCCAGCCTCCTCCTCTCAGGACTCCCAGCAGAAAGGAAGGCCACAGGCATTGGACAGGCCAATGAGGCTTTCCACGGGGGCACAGCTAATAGCAGACCTCTGACTGCAGGTTGGCACTATCGGTCTGTGCCCCCGAGGGCAAGGTCATTACTACGCAGGCTCAGAGAGGCACTTAGAATTCCTGAGAGGGGTTTGCCTTTGGTTCCCCAGTAACAACAGTTCCGGAACTCAAAAGGAAACCGAGTGGTTCTGTGTGGTGAAGCTACCCAAATAGATACGCATGTAAATGTACAGAAAGTGACTGGAAGGAACACAGGACTTAGTGAAAACAGTTAAGATTGGAGGCAGGGGAGCACTAAATATGCCAGAGATTTTAAGGTTTTGTTTTTTTTTTTTTAAACCACACTTCCCACTCCATTAACTCAGTTAAGATACACTCCCTCAGTCGGGCGTTGGTGGCGCACGCCTTTAATCCCAGCACTCGGGAGGCAGAGAGCAGGCAGATCTCTGTGAGTTCGAGGCCAGCCTGGTCTACAGAGCGAGTTCCAGGACAGCCTCCAAAACAATACAGAGAAACCCTGTCTCGAAAAACCTAAAATAAAAAAATATCACAATTCTGTGTGTATAGGGTGGGGGTGTAGATGTCAAAGGACATCTTGCAGGAGTTACCTCTCTTCCATCTTGTGAGTTCCAGGACTTGGTGACAGAACTCGTCGGGCTTGCTGGCAGTTACCCGTACCCACTCGGCTATCTTCCCCAGCTCTCTGAGGCATCTCGGCCCCCTTATTCAGCTGCTCTCCACCCTGGCCGCGTAATTTACAAGCAGAGGTTTTATATAACTCACCGTTCTCATAATGGCCTGGAGCTGGTGGCAGGTGTCTTCGCAGGGTCTCCACGCTCTGCCGTCGCATGACAGCCGAGCAAGGAAATGAAACAGGGTAAGCAAGGGTTGGGGGCCCAACCCACCCCTCAGGGTCTAATCCACTCCAGGCTGAAAGGACAAGAGGGCTCGTGGTCCAGTTGCCCCTTAAGCAGCCTAACCTCTTAATACTGTCACAAAGGCAATTCCTTCTCAGCTTGTGTCGGTGGAGACATTAAAGTGCCAGGACACATTCAGATGGGTTTACAGAGGTCCCAGGAATGCAGGTACAAGTGATTTATTGGGCAATTGTCCTTAAGGGGAAATAAAAAAACTTTCGAGGGAGAAATGGGACAGGGCGTCCAGTGAGTCTGTGGTTTCAGGCAAATCACAGCAACCACCTTTGTCTTAGTTACTTTTCTATTGCTGTCATAAGACACCATGACCAGGGTATCTTACAGAACATTTACGGTTTACAGTTTCAGAGGGTTAGAGTCCATGACAGGGCGTCTGGCAGCAGGGAGGCTGGCATGGCACCGGGGCAGTCGCTGAGAGATCCTTTCTGGGTCCACAAACAGGAAGAAGCAGAGAGGACACTGGAATGGAATCAGTCTTCTGGAACCACAAAGCCCACCTTCAGTGACCTCCTCCAACAAGGCCACACCTCCTAATCCTTCCCAAACAATCTCATCACGTGGAGACCAAGTACCTCCAGAATAGAGGAGCCTACTGGGACCATTCTTGTTCAAACCACCTGTGCCTTTAATGCCAGCGCTTGGGTGGCTGAGGCAGGTGGATCTCTGTAGACACAGTTTCCGTCCTGCCTGGTCCCACAGCCACTTTGCCCCCAAATAAACACAGAGACTTTTATTAATTAGAAATTGCTTGGCCAATGGCTCAGGCTTCTTATTGGCTAGCGCTCTCTTAATTATTAACCCATAACTACTAATCTATGTATTTCTACATGGCCTTATCTTGCTGGAGAATGCCCGGTGTCCTATCTTCCCAACCACTGCATGGCGTCTCCCTGGTGGCTTCTCCCTGTGTCCTCTCCCCAGAATCTTCCTCATCTGATAGCCCCCCCCCCATAATTCCTGCCTGGCTACTGGACAATCAGTGTTTTTATTTATCAACCATTAAGAGAAACATATATAATACGGAAGGACATCCACCCATCAGATCTCTGTGGACTTTGAGGCCAGCCTGCTCTACATATTGAGTTCCAGGCCGGCCAGAGCTACACAGAAGGGCACTGTCTAAAAAACAAACAAGCAAACAAAACAAAACTGCACAATACAAAACAGCCAGTTCTCTGGGAAGAGCATTGAAGGGAGAAGGTAGCTTGAATTCTGGGGAGAGGAGCAGATGAAATGACGCAGTTGGGTGTGACCAGCCGGCCCTCGTGGCGCCCACGCAGCTGTAGGTGGGATTACGTCCCTTCTTCCTGCTGAGTGAATGCAGAGTAGACACAAGAAGAAATCTGGGAGGGAGCCCATGGGGAACCTGGAGACGGGGTGGAGGGTGGCAGCTGGGACCGATGCAGGTAGGACGCTGAATGAGAGTGATCCACAGCCAGGCCTTGGCCACATTTCAGACCTGCGCAGGGTCAGGAGAGGCTGCCCGGCTGCCTGGGAAGAACCTTGCTCAACTTGTGAGCCTCCAAAGGCAGGTGGCATCATTTCCTGAGAAGAAAGCACCACGGAGAGACAAGCTTAGGCTTCATATGCACCCGCCAAGGACGGGGTGAGGTGAAGGCGCCGGCTCATCGTTTTTTGTTGTTGTTGTTTGTTTGTTTTGTTTTGAGGAAGCCAGACAGGATGATGGTAAGTCAGCATGTCAGGAAATGCAAGATGAACAGAGAGGTGGTAGCAGAATAATCCAGAGCATTCGCAAAGGTTTTAGAAGACTCCATCATCCGGCTATTCCTTACGGACTTTGTGTGGCCAAGGCATGTGCAGGTTATGGCTTGGGGACCTGAAGACCGAGACTGGAAACACTCCTGATGGTGGAGAGCAATGAAGGCAATCTGAAGTGGGTAAGGGTGTTTGCTGCAAAATAGTAAGGACATGAGTTCAAATCCCCAAGATCCAGTTAAAAGTAGTGTATGGCGGCAGGTGCTGGGCAGGAGGGGCAGAGACAGGAGGATTGCTTGGGATTGCTATCTGCCAGCACAACTTACAACTTCAGGGTTAGTGAGAGGCCTGTCTCAAGGGCATAAAGCACTGAGTGACACAGCAGGGTATCTGATGTCTTCCCTGGACTCTGCACACAAGTGTACCAAGCGCCTCTTGGTTCCCCGCCTCCAACACACATTTAAGTTCTAAGAGAAGTAATGGAGCACTCTGTTTGTCATTTACTTTTAAAGAGAGAAAAAAATTTCCTTTAGTGAATTTATCAATGAATTATCGGGGTGGGTTTTCTCATAGCAAGCTGTCTTTGTCAGGCTGTCTCTGAACCATCAGCCCACAAATAATGACATGGAGACTTCTTACTAATTACCAAAGCTTGGCCTTAGTGTAAGCCTTTTTCCAACTAGCTCTTTTTTTTTTTTTTTTTTTTTTTTTTTTTTTTTTGGTTTTTACGAGACAGGGTTTCTCTGTATTGTTTTGGAGGCTTTCGGTCCAGCCTGGCCTCGAACTCACAGAGATCCACCTGCCTCTGCCTCCCGAGTGCTGGGATTAAAGGCGTGGACCACCACTGACCAGCTCCAACTAGCTCTTATAACTTTTTTTTAAAATATTTTATTTATTATGTATACAATCTTCAGCATGCCAGTAGAGGGCACCAGATCTCATTCAAGGTGGTTGTGAGCCACCATGTGGTTGCTGGGAATTGAACTCAGGACCTCTGGAAGAACAGTCAGTGCTCTTAACCGCTGAGCCATCTCTCCAGCCCCGTAGCTCTTATAATTTAACTAACGCATATTTTTGAAATCTACATCCCGACACATGGTTCGGTTACCTCTTAGTAGGGCATATCCGACTTGCTCACAGTCTGCTGGCGAAATCGTGCACCTAGATTCCCTCCTCTCTCAGTCTCTCTCTCTGTCTCTCTCTCTCTCTGTCTCTCTCTCTCTCTGTCTCTCTCTCTCTCTCTCTCTCTCTCTCTCTCTCTCTCTCTCTCTCTCTCTCTCTCTCTCTCTCTCTCCTTGGAACTCCTGCCTATTCTCTCCTGCTTAGCTATTGGCCAGTTAGCTCTTTATCAAACCAGTCAAAAGATGCCTTAGGCAGAGACACATTTTTACAGTGTAAACAAATATTCTGCAACTGATTCCTGACTCCTAGGATCAAATGATCTCCCTGCCTCAGCCGTCCAAGGGGCTGGAACTGCAGGTGCCTGCTGCCATGCCCATTAATTTCAATCGTTTGTTTCCAGAGTTCTTTGCAGGGGTCTCTGCTTTCCCATTGCTCTCCATTTGATACTAGAGGTTTTCTTTCCAGTTTACGATGGAAAAAACGTGAACTGGGTATGATGGTTTTCCGGGGTTCTATGGGAGACTCCACATAGATGACACTGTCATTGTCCTCTGGGGACTCACAATAGAAGAGGAAAGGAACCTTTGGTTGTGGTTATTACGAGGTCTGGGGAGGGTAGCCCCGTAAGACTGCACTTGTTTTGCAAGAGCAAGCTGAGGGGTTGGAGATGGCCGGGGGGGGGGGGGGGGTTCCCTCTGCCATGTGACTTACTCTAGCTTGGGTCAGGTGGGCAAAAACTGAGGAACACAGAAGCGCTAGGAAGTCGCAAGGCCATGCAGAATGGTGAGGAGAGGGGCTGGAGGACTGCTGAGTGGTTAAGAGCGCTTGCTGCTGTTTCACAGGTCCCAGGTTCCGTTTTTAGCACTCGTGTCAAATGGCTCTCATCACCTTTGAAGTCTAGCTCCAGGGGATTCAACACCCTCTTCTGGCCCGGCGTGCACCTATAATCACACATACACATAAAGAAATAAAGATGCATCGAAGGTGAAGAATGCAGGATGGATGGAACACAGACATGACTACACCATGGCGTGAGAGAGAGGGGCACGTGGTTAGGTATGATTGCTAATCTTGGTTGTCAGCTTGACATCGCTTGGAATTAATGAAAACCCAAGCTGCTACTGACACACCTGTGAGGGATTTTTTTAAAGAGAGTGTGTGTGTGTGTGTGTGTGTGTGTGTGTGTGTGTGTGTGTGTGTGTATGTGTGAGTATGCACAGTCCTGAGTGGATGTCTGTGAACCACATGCATCCAGAAGTCTATGGAAGTCATTGGAAATCCTGGAACTGGAGTTATGTATGGTCATAAGCCACCATGTGTGGGTGCTGGGAACTGGACCCCAGTCTTCTTCAAGAGCAGCCTGTGATCTTACCGGCTGAGCCGACCTCTCCAGCCTCCTCCCCACCCAGGGATTTTCTTAAATTGTTTGATGGGAAGACCCGCCCTCAATCTGAGCCACGCCTTCTCCTGGCAGCCCACTTTGAAGGACAAGGAAGAAGGAAGGTTTCGATTTTCCCTGCTTCCCCTGACTCTTGTTGGCTAGTTCATCTACCCTGTTGCTGAAGTATTTGCTTTCGCTGGTATTAGAACCAACTTCTTCAGGATTCCAGCACAGCCTAAGACCGGCAGCTCTCCGGTAGTCTTCCAGGGCCCCAGCACCAGACTGTGACAGCTGAGACGTCCAGTCTCAAGGACTGAACAGCTGTGGATTCTCAGCTTCTTACCTGGACCTCATCCCGAGAGACAGTCTAACAGACCCCCATATCCTATCAGTTCTGTGGCTCCAGAGAACACTGTTGAAGAAATGATTTAGAAGTAGAGTACAAAATGCCAGCTGGGCGTCGGTGGCACATGCCCCTGACCCCAGCACTGGGAGGCAGAGACAGGTGGATCTCTGTGAGTTCCAAGCCAGTCTGGTCTACAGATCAAGTTCCAGGATAGCCAGGGCTACACAGAGAAACCCCGTCTCAACCCCCCACCCTCACTCCCAAAATGCCTACAAGTTGTATTGGGTGTTGTCACTTACTGCAATAACAAGCTGGCCTGGCATGGATGTGACAAATACCCAAGGTAATCAGCTTAGGAGAGGGAGGTTCTATTCTGGCTCACAGTTCATGGTCGATTGGTCTCATGGCTGCGGGGCTGTATTGAGACAGAACGTCCCAGCAAGGAGTTCATGGTGGAATAAAGCTGCTTACTTCATGGTGGTGGCTAGGAAGCAGAGAGAGAGAGAGAGAGAGAGAGACAGAGAGAGAGACAGAGAGACAGAGAGAGACAGAGAGAGAGAGAGAGACAAGACATGACTGGGGATAAAATACATCCTCCAAAGACAACCCTCAGGACCTACTTTCTCCAACTAGACCCTGCTTCCTCATTTCTACCATCTTCCAATAATGCCATAAAATAAATTCTGAGTCCACCAGTGGATTAACCTATTGACTGGGTTATAATACAATCAGCCTTAAAACCATCAACAGTTGGGGAGCAGGCCTTCAACACATGAGCCTTGGGCATTCATTTATAGCCAAACCATAAGAGAAAGTCGCTTAAAGGTTTTCAAAAAACAAAACAAACAAACAAACAAACAAAAAAACAAGTGACACATTTATAGATGTCCCTATTAAGCATACTGGCTGTTCTTGCAGAGGCCCTAGGTTTACTTCCCAACAATCAATGTGGTGTCTCACAACCATTTGTAAGTCCAGGAGATTCAGTGTTCTCTTCTGGCCTCCGCAGGCAGCAGGAATGTATATGGTGCACAAACATGCAGGCAGGAGAAGTATCTGTACACGTAAAATAAAAAACAAGTAAGAAATCTTTTTTAAAACATTACAGCACGTTTATTAATAGCCATCCAAAACTCGGAAGCAGTAAAATGCCTTATGATTGATGAATGGGTAAGCAAACTATAGCTGTAAAAAGGAGTATTTTGTTAGCAACAGAGGGAAAGTGATCTATCAAGTCCTGAGAAGACAGGGAGGAATAACTTTAAACCCATGGTGCTGAGTGAGAGAAGCCAACCTGAAAAGGCGGCATCTGGAACGAATCTGAATCGTTGACACCGTGGAAAGGGCAGAATTGTGACGACAGTGGCAACCAGGGGTTTCCGAGAGAGAAGAGGGGAGAAGGACGAGCAGGCAGAACACAGGATTCAGGGGGAGAAGCATCTGTGTGACGCCACAATGATGGTGCCCGTCACCCTCCTTTTGTAAAGACTCACGGGAAATAGGATGTAAAGTCGGCCCTAATTTAAAGGATGGGCTTCAGTAAGAGGGCGGGGCTGGAGAGATGGCTCCTCACTGTCGAGGAGGATGAGGAGGGGAGGTGACAGAAGAGGAGGAAGACAGGAGGTGGCAGCAAATGAAGGGACCTAAGGCACGGAAGCTTCATTGGGAGACTCTGGGTATGGGGGGGGAGCAATTCATCCCATCTGTCTGGTCCGTGGCCGCAGGGTGATGTGAACTTACCAGCCCCAAATCCAGGGAGGCTGTCCATCACACACAAACGGTGAGCCCTTTATCTGTTCTAGCTCCCAGTGTGTCTACTTAGCACAGGAGATAGACAGGCATCCGGGTTGACTAGCCCAGTGACTCTAATCAGTCTCTTTCTGTCCCACTAAAAATGACCTTTGGTTACTTGATGAAAGCGACTAGTAATGTTGATATGTAGGTGTCGCTGTGTACCGGAAATAACCAACCCAATCAAAGAAAGGTGTTTTCAGAAAGCACTCTGTATTTCTGTCAGGGTTAAGTGGATTTATTCGGTGTAGTGTGAGCAGTGAACAGTAACTGCGATATGTTACACTTGAGACCTTCAGTGGACGACATTTAAAGGCCGTTTCTTCAAACATGATATAGTTGTCATAAGCGCGTACAGTAACGTGTGGTCTGGCCTCACTCAGGAAACTTAAAGTTTTAAGTCTCTTCTTCGTTTTCTTGCAAATGTGGTCCTCACAAAAGTGTGCAGAAGCAAAGGAACAACGTGGTGACCGCAAGGGAGGCCACATGCTCTGAGTCCTGGGGCACTTTACAGGTGTGGGATACTGAGTGTCCATGAGGCCCTAAAGATGCCCTCTGCACCCCATACAAAACCAGTGCTTTTAAAAGTGGTGTTTTCTTTCTTCCCGTAATGAATATTTCAGAACAGACTTTGCTATTTGATGCTACGATTTTTCACTTAGCTAAAAGGTTTTGCTGTGCAGTTGGCCAACTCCCCCCACCCCACCCCCAGACGCTGTCTACTGTACCTCAGGCCGCCTTAAATTTAGTCAGTAGCTGAGGATTTCTTTGCACTCCTGATCTGCCTGCCTCGCCCTCCTGAGTGCTGGGATTAGGGGCCTGTACCACCTTGCCCAGCCTGACTTCCCTTCTGATAGGTTTCAAACCCATGACAAATGGCTGAGTTGCATATTTAACATATCAAAAGGGACCTGGTTGCCAGGTCCTTTCTGCATCCCTCAGTCTCTATCCTTTAACAGGATCCTTCTGGCTAAGGTACCCCATTCCCTACCCTAAACATCTCCAGCCCAGGGGCTGGGCTGCCCTTTCCTCTATAATCCAACCATTTTGGTTACCTGGCCTCCTGGCTGCTGCACCTGGTTCCCCTCTCTCCCCACTCTCTTCCCTTTCCCCTTCCTCTCCTCCAGAGATTCCTGCCTCTGGCTCTGCTCTCCCACACATCTGTAATAAACTTTCTCCTTTGCCATACCTAGGAGCGGTCACATCTTTCTTTTTGTATTTCGTTCCTTCTTTCTTTCTTTCCTTTAATTCATCTTCTTTGTTTCCAGGAACTACTTTATTAGAGTTGTGTCTAGGGAAGCCAAGCTTTTGAACATCAGCTGTCACAGCCAGTGTTTGCATGCCGTCAGGAAATCCCTTATTGACTTAGACATCCTGTTTTTTTTTTTCATTTGCCACCTGTTTGTGGGTGACTTTTATGACTGGTGTCAAGGTCCTTATTTTACACATTAACTTACATTTCACACTTGACGTTGGATGAAGGTAATTGAGCTGTTCTTTCTGTCTCGCTTAAGAGCGGCAGCTCCTGAGGGCGACTGGTGCTGTGTGACAACCCGGAGGCGGAGGCGACAGAATCACTAGAGAAACAAGCTCCGAAAAGGCAGGCAATTACCTAGAATTAGATCAAGTCAAAGCTGCAGGTAGGTAAATCCTGTAGCTAAACCACCTCCAGCCAGCCAAGTATGCGATGATACAGTGTTCCAGAGAATTAGCAACAAAAGGCAAGGCTTTTGCAACAGGCAAGTGTAGCAAATCCCTAATGTTTCCAAGCCCGCCTGTTACATTTCTTGATTACTTTCCCAACTTAGAAGGGGGGGGGGCGAAGTTGGACAGTTAATTTGAAGCATAGGAAATGACGACCCAGTTTTAAAAACTGCCCTCCTAAGTAAACAGGTTTCGTTTTAAGATCACTAAACGACATCTGAGAAATTAGTGATTTTATTCCGGGACATAATGGGCAGATATGTTCCCAAAACTAACAATTTGTTCTGGATGCCCTACATTTTTTTTTTCTTTTTAATTGCAGCTTCAGGACCTCAGTAGAAAGCTCAAGCATCCCCCTGGGGATTAATCTTCCCCAGGCAAAGGGCAATAAAACAAGCCATGTGGAATTAGAAAACCCTAGGACCAAGCAATCGCAGCTGTGGATGAGATCCCACAGGCTACTGGAATTCCCTCTCCAGGTCAGCGCCCATTAGGAGAACTTTGTCTCATTATCTGACACCTGTTGGGGGAAATTTATGAGATTGGATTCCATATTTACATGTGCATTGAAACAGGGTATCACGTAGCCCAGGCTAGTATGCAACTTACTACTTAACCCAGGCTCCCATGCTGACCCTGAACTACTGCCCCCCCCCCATTATAGGTTGGTCTTATCTCAAACGATAATTTTGACAACTGGAACACAATTAGATACAATACTTGCTGGTATGTCCTAGTTTGTTTTCTACTGCTGATAAACACTTAACCAAAACCAACTCAGGGAGGAAGGCTTAACGTGTCTTGATCACAGTGGATCATTAAGGGAAGTTGGGACAGGAATTCCAGCAGGAACACAGCAGAGATCATGTAGGTACACTGTTTACTAATTTGCCCCAAACCTCCTGGCTTTCTCTGCTACTTGTCTTAAACAACCCAGGACCACCTGCCCAGGGGTGGTACCATGAATAATGTGATGGGGCCCAGTCCTCTGTAGGGGGTACCACCCCTGGGCAGGCGGTCCTGGGTTGTATAAGACAAGTAGCAGAGCAATTAAGATTCCTCCAATCTGATGGAGGCAACCCCTCAACTAAGATTCCCTCTTTCCAGATGGCTGTAGCTCTGTCAAATTGGCAAAAGAAAAAAAAAGAAAAAAGAAAAAAGAAAACCTAACTATCACATGAGGCCCAGCATTGAGGGGGAAGGAAGCAGGAGGCTCACAGCTTAAACAAACAAACAAAAAAAATCACTGCCTCTGGACTCAATGAGACACCCCGCCTCAAAAAAGTCACAGACTGATACGGGGGGTTTGATGCTACCCTCTGACCTCCCTGTGGACTCAGCATGCACATGGCACACACAATTGCGTGCGCGCACAGGCGTGCGCACACACACACTGAGTTTTGCTGTAATTACACCTGCGTGATAATCACAGGTATAAATGAACAATGGCCCCATATGGAGGCTCCTGAGTTTTGGTGAGGATGTTTAAAACATTGTACGCTAGTTTTGCTTTAGCTTTCTTATGTTTGGAGAAAGGGGGAGAAGTAAGCCATACTTCTGCAGCATAACAGAAGGTACCTGCGGGAAGTGAGTGAATACCACCTTAGAACACCAGGCTGCTCGGCTGGGAGTTAGTGGCGCACACCTTTAATCCCAGCACTCGGGAGGCAGAGGCGGGTGGATCTCTGTGAGTTCGAGGCCGGGCTGGTCTTCAGAGCGAGTTCCAGGACAGCCTCCTTGGTCACCAGCTAGGGCTAGTGTTTCTGCACCTAAATAACTGGGCCAGCTGTTACAGTCTGGTAAGTGGGTGGAAACTCAGATTAAGGGAAACCCTGACGGGAATGAGAGCAGGCTTGCAAAGGTTTGCTTGTGAGATGAATCCCACATGGGAGTCATGCCATAAGGGCTGGCGAGGCGCAGCCATGTTTCCGCACACACGTTCATCCGTGTGATCAGCATTAGGACACCGTCTGAAGGTTACCCAGAACAGGAGGGAAGCAGAGTCTGACCGCGGTGTTAACCGGGACATGACAGCGGTGTTAACCTGGACGTCTGTGCAGATGGTGGCTTCCACTCTTCATCCTCTTCCCCTCCTTCCCACTCTTGCCCACCTGTGGAGCCCTCTGGCCTTTGGTGGGTGATGGAGGCAGAGAAAGGGTTTGGTACTTGGACCCGGGAGGTATTCAGCTCCTAAATGCCTTTTAGCATCAGTATTTCCTGCTACGTGACACTTGCAGATACATACCTCTATCCACAAAGGGCAGGACCCAGAGACCTAAGAACTCTCTGATGAGGATGCCAGGCACCCTGGAAACTGAACACAGTGCTGTCCTCATTTCAAATGTGAGGAGGCTTAAACTCCAAGAGAACAAGTGTTCTCCTCAGCTTGCTAAGTCATTGTATTTTATAAATACATTTTGGGGTCTAGTTTGACTTAAGGCATAAGCTAGGTACCTGCTGTAGCTTGTTAGTAATGTGATATGAAAATGGAGAAGGGTAAGCAGGAGAGGTTCAGATGAAGATGGGGGTGGAGAGGTAACAAAAACTAAGGATGTATAGAAAAAAATGCTCCTAGAAACCCACTACTTGACAAGGGATGGTAGCACACACCTTTAATACCAGCAATAAGGAGGCAGAGACAGGCAGATCTCTGTGAGTTTGAGGCCAGCCTGGTCTACATAGAAACCAGTGATACATAGTAAGACCTTATCTTAAAAAAAAAGAAAGCTAGAAAGTTGTAGGCTTTTTCTCTTTTTCACTACAATATTTAACTTCAAAAAGGCATAATGGCAGTATCTTGCATGGGATGCACAATCCTTCCCCCAGGAAACAGGTTTTTAGGTGGACATCCCAGTGCTAGGTATGAGAAACCTCCTTATAAGCTGTCTCAAAGCCCTCCCCCCCAGTCAACACAGACATCATTGCTCTTGGCTCATGCACCAGAACCAATGATCAGAGCCTGCTGCTGAAGACGCCACGCGGCGTGTTTACAGGACACAGACGAATCAAGCTGGAACTGAGCTGAAGCTTCTCTCTGCCGGCCATCTTTCATAGTGCTGGAAGCTGCTGTCCAGGGCGTTGGGGGAGAAACCGTCATTAATGGCGTTGCCCGGCTGTTGACAGTGCATGCTACATGCATGCCAGGCAAGATGTCTGCCTTAGCTAGGGTTCCTATTGCCGTGAGGAGACGGCATGACCACTGCGGCTCTTATAGAGGGAAACATTTAATTGGGGCGGCTTGCTTACAGTTGAGAGGTTTAGTCCATTATCACCATGGCAGGCAGACGTGGTGCTGGAGAAGGAGCTGAGAGTTCTTACATCTTGACTCACAGGACACGGGAAACCGTCTGAGACACCGGACATGGCTTGATCTTTAGAGACCTTAAAGCCCACCTCCCCAGTGACACACTTCTCCCAACAAGACCGCACCTTCTCCATCAAAGCCACACCTTCTAATAGTGTCACTCCCTTTGGGGCCATTTTCTTTCAAAACACCACAAAGTCCAACATTGCGACAGTTGTGGCAGTATTTTATTTATGATCTAACAAATAGAGCTTACCTGAAGATCAGAGTGCAAAGCTAGTCACACTAGTCAGCCATAGAGGCCAGGTGGTGGTAGCTCACACCTTTCATCCCAGCACTCAGGAGAGGAGAGGCAGACGGATCTCTGTTAGTTCAAGGCCACCCTGGGCTGCACCAGATTGTTCCAGTCTAAAAGAGATACAGCTCACACAAAGGTGACCTCAGCACTTGGGATTGCATGCCTTTAATGCCAGCGCTAGAGAGGGAGAGGCAGGAGTGATATGGCTGGGCAGAGAGAGAGAGAGAGAGAGAGAGAGAGAGAGAGAGAGAGAGAGAGAGAGAGAGAGAGAGAGAGGAAGATAAGGCGGGAGGAGACAGGAGCTCGGGGAGTGCAGCCTGAGGTTTGGTGGAGAGCAGTGCATCCTGGGGATTCGTGGGGACGGGATCACCCGTTTCAGTCTGAAGTAGAGCTGAGAGCTGCTTGCTTGGCGGCTTTGCTTTTTGGTCTTTCGGCCTGAGCCCCAGTGGCAGTCTCTGGGTTGATATTAGTTGTGTGACAGTCAGCTGCGTGGAAGAGTGAGCCCGACTAGGCGAAGGAAGTGAGGGCGGCGGAAATCTGATTGCTGTCCAAAAGGGAAGTAAGGATGAACTTCGGCAGCAGGCCAGACTGAGAGTGTGGTCAGGGTGAGGTGGAGGTCAAGGGTAGAACCTAAGGGAATTCTCCGGAAGGACAGGTAATCAAGACCTTTAGGGTCGCCAGGGCACAGGTGTCCAAAGCAATGGAGACACCTGCTTCTTGATTGCCGGGGAAGCCTGACCGTTCACTTCTTAAACACAGCACTCCCGGTGTTGTTAGTAACGTGTATTGCCAGCTCATGTAGGCCCAGGAATGCAGCAGGACGCCGAGTTCAAGCCAGGAGGAGGCTTCCTAGAATGTGTCGGGTTCCACGCACACCGATTGCCCCTGTGTTGCGGTCGTGTCTCTGTTAGGCATCCGGCAGCCACTTCTGTTTTGACGATCGGCGATTAAGGCGAGCAAGGAGCAGGTGCCTGCCGGCTCAAGCCTGGACGGGCTAGGGAAGGCGGGAGACCCACACCAAGCTTGGTTCTGTCTCTAGAGACTCGAGGCTTTCTTATTGGCCATATCCTGGTCCTCTGCTCAGTTCTGGGATGGACTCTCCCAGGACACGTTACGCGGAAGCCCGTTTTAAGTGCCTCCCCTAGCAGGCTGGAAGGCTCCAACTTGGCCCTGACCCTACTTCCTGCTCTTTCTCCGGATTTCACGCCTTATCTCGGGTTTAAACTAATTCGGCTTGAGCGAGGTGATGCACTTCCCTGGTTCCAAGAGGCATGTGATTGTCTGGAATTCCAGACTTTGTTGGTCC